CCCATAAGGGAAAACTCTATTTTATAAAAATCGGTGACTGCTATGAAAAAACTAAAAATGCAAAAACTCTTGTATTTTGTTAGGTTACTTATGGTTATGGTTAGGGCAGGATAGGGGTTAAGGTTGTCATAGTTAGCGTTAGCATTTTTCCCATTGAAATGAATGAGCGGTCCCCATAAGGATATGTTTACCCTACATGTGCGTGTGTGTGAGTGTGTGTGTGTGTGTGTGTGTGTGTGCTCCATGATAAACCAGCATCCTGTCCAGGACGTCTCCTGCCTTGTGCTTCCTGGGATAGGCTCCAGGTGCTGGAACCCTGTACAGGATAAGCCGTTATGGGAAATGGATGAATGGAAATTTTAATGTTGGAATCGGTCACTCAGCCAAAACCATGTCCAACCCTGATGACCGTATGTGTACAGAAAGCTATTCTAGTCTTAATTCAGCCCTGCTGAAGGTACTGTGCAGAAATGGTGAGCAACTTTCCCAGAAGGTTCATCTTGAAAAGGCAACTGCAAACATGGAAAAATCCCTTCGTAGCACACTAGATCTTGTAGCTCCACTTAAGAAGATAAAGCATAGAGATAAGAAACCTGCCCCCTGGTACTCTGATCATGCACGTGAACTCAAACAGGCATCACGCAAGCTAGAGCGCAAATGGCGCTCAACTAGACTAGAAGTTTTCAAATCTGCCTGGAAGCACCTGGAATTTGCCTCTCTAAATACAGACAAGCACAAGTGACTGCTAGGTCTGTGTATCTCTCCAGATTAATAGACGTGAACAAAACCAATCCTAAATTCCTATTTGAATCCGTGGCTAGGTTAACACAGAATTCTTCATTAAACTCGCAAGTCCGGCAAGCTCTTAAGAGTGATGACTTTATTACATTTTTTTATGGTAAAATAACTAAGATTAGACAGACCATCCAGTGCACGTCCTTAGCTACTTACGGTTGCCAGCCTCCGAGTAGTCTTATGCCTACCAATAATGAGATCTTTGAATCTTTCATTCCTATAAAACACTCAGAACTTTTGAGCTTAGTTTCCTCCTGTAAATCCTCTACTAGCCTCATAGACCCAATTTCTACAAAATTCTTCAAGGAAATTGCACCGCAGATTAGACCTACCCTGTAAAATGTGTTAAACTCATCTCTTAGGCTTGTATATGTTCCAAAACCTTTTAAAATGGCTGATATTAAACCTGTCCTAAAGAAACCAAATCTTTAACCTAGTGTTTTAGGAAATTATAGACGTATCTCAAATCTTCCTTTCATTTCAAAGATCATGGAAAAGGTTGTACAGTAGTTCGTCAGTTGTCTTCTTTCCTACAGAAAAATAATACTAATGAATTATATCAGTCTGGCTTTAGACCAAACCATAGCACAGAAACCGCTCTAGTCAAAGTAATGAATGATTTACTTATGGCTTCTGACCGTGGCTGTATATCTCTTTTGGTATTACTAGATTTAACTGCAGCATTCGATACTGTGGACCATAATATCCTCTTGGACTGGTTAGAAGGTGTGATTGGCATTAAGGGGACAGCGCTCTCTTGGTTCTGCTCATATTTAACTGATCACTATCTCGGATTGAGTATAAAATACTGCTATTAATCTATAAAGCACTTAATGGACTTGCACCAGAATACCTTAGTGATCTGCTGACCTCATACAACCCTCCACGCTTGCTTCGTTCTCAATGCACAGGGTATCTGTTAGTACCAAGGGTAGAAAGAGCTACGGCAGGCTGCAGAGCTTTCTCCTATAGAGCTCCTCAGCTGTGGAACGGTCTTCCACCGGATGTGCGGGTTTCAGGCTCACTTTCAATATTCAAGTCTAGACTAAAAACACACCTATTTAGTTTAGCTTATAGGGACACTAGTTCTAGCTCTAGCTAACTGCTCACTCCCAGGTAGACCTATAGTGTGAGGTGTAGAGCTGGGTGGGGATCGGTGCCATTGGCTTTGGATAAACTGAATTGACAGTGCTGTCACTCTAGCTTCACAATCGCTTGAGGAATCGCTTGTCAGGGACTCCCCATGCATGCATTCCCACTTGCCTCTCCCTCCTACTTATGCTGCCATAGCCATATCTGCCGGAGCTTGCACACTGCACTTCATATTGCACTCACCTAACTGTTAGCACTGCCTACAGTCTCCCCTACTTTGACTAATTGCACATTTTATTTCCGCTACTCCTCCTGGGGGGAGCTGCCTGGAGACCTCAATCTATCAAGATATCCTGCACACCCTGCAACATGTGACGTCGCCTCTACCAATGACGTCCGTGCATCCAGCTCGCCGTTCTGCCTGTGTCGTTCTCCATGTATGACCTGCTGCCTGCATTCTGGTTGCCTGGTGATCTGAAGGAGCGTCGGCACCGGCTTGTCATCACCTCCCTGCTCCCTAGTTGTGTCTCAAATCTTATGACTTAGACAGTGTGACTTGGCACTTAGCCATCTCTCCTATTTGACTCTTCTTGCCGGCCCCTGGAGGATGGGCACCCCTTTTGAGTCTGGTCCCTCCCAAGGTTTCTTCCTTCTAGGGAGTTTTTCCTTGCCACTGTCACCTATGGCTTTCTCACTGGGGGCCTTGGGTGGGGATGCTGTAAAGCGCTTTGAGACGATGTAATGTTGTGATAACACGCTATACAAAAATAAATTTGTTTGTTGTTTGTTGTCCTCCTCTTCAGCAACTGTCTTTCAGCATGGCAGAATGCAAAAATGTCCATCATGAAGTCTCATTGTTCAGGAAATCCAAATTGATCAAGCAGTGAGGAATTAATAATTGAATTAAGAAGCCAACAGTGTTAGCAGCCTAAACTGTATCTCCCAAGGTAATTTGGTATGGTAATTCCTTCCAGAAGAAGTATTTGCATCACCAGAAAGATGCCCAGCAGTCCTGGTCTCTTAATGAGTTTTGGTTAGGTATAAAAACAGCAGGCTCAACCATGACTTCACAGTGCACCACGGGAAGCCCTCATGATGGTTTCAGAAGGCGAGGCAGCCCATTAAGCCCTCCACAGACCACTGAGATTATCTCATCTCACTGCTATGACATCCCGTGCCATGCCGCTGACATCACTGAGTATGATGCAATGCAGATGGTCAGTCACAAGCCTGTCCACCCACTCTGGGGAACATCTGTGTCCTGGAAAGAGCCAGACCCTTGTTCTTGACTTGCCATTAGCTGAGAAGATGTGAGATTCTCTTATTGCTGATAAGAAACATGAACTAAGAAACTCACCCCATACATTCAAGTTGTAATGCTTCTCTGTCTTCCCAGCTACATTAGTGGCTTCACAGGTATATCTGCCAGTATCTTGAACTTGAGAGCTGTCAATCTGGAAATAATTCAGGTGTTGAATTGCTTTCATGTTCTATAAATTTATTCAAATGTATTATTTATATACAAATTAAAAATCCACTAAAATTGTCTCTTCCTTATTCTTATATGTGATTCATCTTTGAGGTCTTCTGATAGTCACATGCTGGCAGAAAACAGCTGATTGTTCTGCTTCCATTTCGCACTGGAGTTGTGAAGGGGACCTGTGACACTGACCAGGGTAAGTGGTTAGAAGGATATGAAGAGGGAGAGACATTACCTTCAACATGCTTCCGTCTTCGGACACCCTAAGACCCGGCTTCCTGAACAGTGGCCGCCTGTCCTTACGCCAGGACAGTGTGGGCGGAGGGATGGCATCGCTCTGGCACAGCAGCTCCACGGGCTGCCCCATCAACACAGTGACATTCATTTCCTCCCCCATGATGTTGGGCGGGACTGCAGCAGAACAAACAGAGGGTCAGGCTCAGAGAGAGTAATAATAATAATAATAATAATAACACTTTATTAATCCCTTGTGGAGAAATTCCCTTTTTGTCTACCCCATTTCGCTTTCCATAACAGATAGATATACACTCAAGAGCAAGTTTGGCAGCAAAGGGTGGCCACCTCTAGCAATGCCAGTGGAGCTAGAGGTTACAGGCCTTGCTCAAGGACCAGCAGACATGACTATTCAGCTGAGGCAAGGCTTGAACCAGCGTCCTTCCAATCACAGGCACTGAGGCGAACCCCGCTGAGCCACAAGTTGCCCTCTAAAAAGAAAAGGCTCCACCTCAATGGAAGCAGAGCGCAGATAAACTACGACAGCAGCACAGTTGGGCCCTGGTGGTCCTGGGCCCATCCATTCAGCGTTCACGGACAGGGATACGGTACGATCAAAAGATCTGACAGGTATGTCTCTGCATGGTCAGATCAATGCAAGGAAAAGTACTGCTGAGAGGCAAATAGATTTTTCTTTCTCTTTGTTCATTTGTTCTTAATAATGCCACAAGTCATTTAAAAACTGCTTAAAAAATATGTTGTTGAGTCTGTAGTGTGATTTTGTTGCCAAGTTGTTATGGGACTGGCTCACTTGATTGTCTGCCGGCTCACCCACGCTACAATTTCTGACTCTGCTATGACTGCTAAATGAACTAAATGCTATCAGTAACCCTGACTGGTAAAAGCATATCACAGCAGAGATGAACCAGAAGTTAATGATGGGATTACCAGGTGCTTCCAATCAGCCATTTGTTTTAACAAGCTTTCCCATTAAGATTAGTAACGCGGACACTGATAGTTTGTGACCCATCACTATCTAAATTTGTAACCAAAATGTTACTGATTTCAGTTGCATAAGGGCTCTCAATTATACCCATATTCAGAGGCCAAGGAATGAGCTATTTCAAGTACACGATTTTTTTCTTGTATGTACCAGAATTTCCTTCTGGGATCATGTTTAATCTTCATGTTTAATCTTAACAAACTACTTATGAAACTGGTGTCTCATACCCCCATCATCACCTTGCTTGACATAGGATTAGCAGAAAATTGTCCCTGATGAGAACAACAATCTGCACTGCACAGTTACATGAAAGGAAACGTCTGGTGTCTCTTTAGTCTGGCCACAATGTCTGGTCACACTGTCTGGCCAATGACAAGATCTGGTACCAGAACAAAGTCCGCCAGTCTTTGAGGTCTCTGGGTGCTGATCTTGGTAACTAATGAGCCAGCACTGTATGTCATCAGTCTGCTGCGGCCGTCTTTCAAGCAGTCATGCGAATGAGAGACCAACCCCAAGTCGAATACTGTAAACCATTTCCTAGCTTTGCATGCTCTCATCTGTGACCTCTACCCTTCATTATTGCCTTTTGTCAAAACCAAGCATCCATGCCAAATCAAAAACAAGCAGCAGTGCTTTTTAAATCTGCCATGTGTCTCTCTACCTCTAATTCACATCCACACTTTTATACTGACTTCCCAATAGATGCTGAGATCTGGACTTTGCCATGCCTTGTTGCCAGTTTGCTGTCCCTGGTTTTCTTCCACGCAAGAGACAGAAACAGAGCCATAAGCACAGGAACAAGTGTAATTTTCCAGATGCAGGAAGTTGTCAAAGACTGGTAATAATTATAGCGACAAATATGCTCTTGCTGACAGTCTCTTTTGATCATTTTCAAAAACCCGACGGCACAGACTTAATCCTTCAGCGATGGAATCAGCTCATTAATTTCGACTTATACCTCATTAACTCCAACTCAAAGTCATGCTAAAGATATTATTGAGCATGTTAGAAAAGACAGATTTAACTTAGCAAAGAAAGGTGCAAGCAATGACAAAGCTCTCTTGATCTGTTTAGAATGACAGCCACCAGCAAATTTAATTCAGGAATAAAACTGACAACAGGACTTACCATAGACACGAAGATCAAACTCCCTTTGCTGTTCACCGCCCGCGTTCATGGCCACACAAGTATATTGCCCGGCATCAGTCACCTGAGCACTGCTGATGGTCAGAACCCGCCCCCCAAAGAGCACCTGAGAAGACCAGGTGTGCAGGGAGTGATGTCAGAAATGACCAATGGGAAACCACTGCTTCAATACACGCCTACTCAGGGGCCACGGTGTAAGGAAAAGGACCAATCACAAGGCTGCACATTCTAATACTATGATACAACTGCCAGTACCCATTTACAAGGTAGACATTATTTCAACCATAAATCAGTAAGATTTTATCTGCTTTTAAGTCGAGAGAACTGCAGCAGTAAGTTAAACAGTATTATTTAAATATGTAAAATATCAAAGGGTATTAAATAACAGTCCCCTGCCATGTGCTTCTAAGGGATGTCTCAACTCTGACCTTGATGTTGAACTAGATAAGCACTTATGAATGAAAAGATTACCATGGGAATCACTGGCACTGGTCAGTAGGAGATGGATGGATTAAATAGCTATGTGGAAGACCTGGAGGAACACCTGGCTTTACCTGCACACCATCTGAGAAGCTGGAAACGGGACTGTGATCCTTGAGCCAGGTGAGGCTTGGTGTGGGCAGGCCGCTCGCTTCACACTCAAGGCGGACGGGCTCATTGACGACCACGGTGACCGTGCCACTGCTGCTGGTGATGGAGGGGGGCACTGCAGGAAGCGGCAAGATCCACAAAGTCACCCATTTAGAGTGGCACATGGTGTTGTTTTGATCCCATTCGGAACAGCCTAAACGGGGCAAATATCTTACAAGTGCTTGGACTTTAAGGAAGTTGTTAATTCACCAATTGAGGAAAGCCCTGCCTACCTCCAGCAAAGCATTAGCTACTTCAGCAAATAAAGGAGGATGAGCAAGACGGAGAAGGGAAGGGTGGGTGGAGACACTTTGGAGATCTTTGTTGTATTTTTTATTTTTGGATTAGAAGTTGATGTAGATACTAATTTTTGCGTACAATTGAATTTGTATGCTTGGGTTTGTGTTTTTGTTTGTTTTTATGAACTTTGTTTAGAGTTACTAGTCACTTATCTTTTTGTGCTATTTTTGTGTTCTCCTTAAGTTTCTTACCATGGGGCCGTGTGCCTCTTCTGAGTTGTATAGTTTTTGCCAGTTTTCAGTTGAGAGGGAGTTGAATGTTTGTTTCTGATTGTTTTGTATAAGTTAATACAATTCTCTTGTTCGAATTAAATAAGGTTGTTTGGAGTTACCAAATTGCCCATAGGTGTGCAGGTGTGAGTGAATGGAGTGTGAGTGAATGGAGTGTGAGTGAATGTGGTATGAGTGAATGGGGTGTGAGTGAATGGCCGTGATAAGCCGTTACAGACAATGGATGCATGGAATTAAATAAGGCAGTTTGTGTTGGAGCCGGGTTATTTGTCCAACACCATCGTTTGTGGCTTAGTATTCCTACACATGCAGGGGTCATAACAAGTGTGAACACAACACACACCTACATCTGACTCACCGTACACCTGGAGGTGGTAGAAGAGGTCTGCGGTTCCCGCCAGGCTGACTGCCATGCACCTGTATAGACCCGCATCCGACATCTGGGCGTCGTCAATCTCCAGCACCTGGCCGCGGTTCACGAGGGTCACTCCAACCATGCTGGTCAACGGCCGGCCGTCCTTGTACCATGTGATGGCTGGTAAGTCACATGGTGTTGGTAAGTCATAAAAAAAACCCTTCCTAAGAATCCCACATGTGCTAGTCTGCTAATAACTTGGTTTGGGAACAGACTGTTTGGCTGCCTTCTATCCTGTGCTTCTTGGGATATTCTCCAGGCTCCCCACAACAGCGCATTGAATAAGAGGTTATGGAGGATAGATTTATTTCCTTACAGGGAATTACCTGGCAGGGGATTTCCTAGAGCCTTGCACTGCAGCTGAATGGGATACCCAGCGAGTACCGTCTCGTTCACTGTCTGTCCACCTCGGGGGATCATGGGCGGTTCTGGGGACCCAGGGAGATGTTGTATAATGCATGAACGTGTTCATTCAGGATGTGAGGGAGGGCTTCCACAGGCAGCCCATTGGCCACCTCATACCGTGGACACTGAGCCTGATGTGCTGCTGAGTCTCTCCGGCGGCATTGGTGGCCACACAAGTGTACCTCCCAGAATCCTCCAGGACAGCCTTCACAATCTCCAGCACTCGGCCCGCTGACTCCAGCTGTGGACACGGACACGTGTAAACCCGACTACGGCACCCAGAAGAATGGATCAGAACCCAGGCACAGACGGACTGCTACCTTCAGGTGCCCCGGGGTGCTGGTCACGGGGAGGCCGTCTTTCAACCAGGTGATGGTGGGAGTGGGGATGCCGTTAGCCAGGCACTGTAGGATGATGGACTTGTGGAGGATCACGGAGCGATCGGCTGGTCCATTAGAGCGAATCGATGGCGGCACTAGGAGAGGGATGGAGGAATAACATGGTTGTAGACTCAAAGTAGTAATTAACAGAAATATAAATATGGTAATTGCTTGACATAAGACATGCATCATGATTTATTAATGATGACTTAACATGAGATCAGTATGTAACTAAGATTTATTTAGTGGTTAATTAATACATAAGTAATACTATAATACTATATTATTTGTGCCCAGTCAAAGTGTTACCGAAGTAACTATTGTGTGCACCTTTGATATCAACGTTTAATATGAAAATGTTTCAGCAAGAATTAGTATTAAGGTGTAAAGTTATAAAAATCTAACTCAAATATGCAAATATGTAATGCAGGGGAAAGAGAAATCAATATATTAGAATACATGGTTACGCTTCACTTGAGGGGACATGAATAATGTAGTAGTACATGCTTACTTAATGCATTAATTAACTAAGTGTTAGTTACAGATCTCATGCTTGTTCATCATTAATTAATCATGACAGTTCATGTATCCCATTGTCACTATTGTTATAACTAATTAGTTAATAATAGAAAGATTTCACGAGGGAGCACAAATACTTAACTCATTTACTACTCAAGAACAAATCATTAACTAATATTGGTTTCCCCATGAAATAGTCAAGATTGATTAATGATGAAAGAACATGGGTTCAGTACTTAACAAACACTTAGTTACTTGTTAATTAATGCATTAAGCAAACGTGTACTACTACATTATATCCTCAAAGCGTTACCGAATACACTGTCACAAAGGTAGTAAATTTAATCAGAAAGATTTCTCATTATTACGTAATTTCTTATATTATCAACTCAGTCATTGTGATATTGCATAATTTTAGAAAAATTAACAATAGCAATTGAATAATTGTATTCCATGGATAATAATGTGGATTGAAAACATGTAGTGTAGTGAGTTTTACTGAAAAATAAAAGTAGTTTAAAACTCCCTGTCACCAAAAATCAAAAGCCTGATGCTCACATGTTCCAATGTACCCAGCACCTCTGTTTTTCATCAGTACCAATACATGCAGTGTTTACCACACACAGCGTATACCAATGACAGCACGCAAATGCACTTATTACTTCTCTACGTGTTAAAAAGGAAGAATTTTGTTACCTTTATAGAATGAGATTCTTCCAGTCGAAAGCATTCAGATGAAAACAACATTAAGACATTAATGTATTACTTTGTAAAGACTTGATATTAAGTCTCAGTAGATGTCTTCATTGCAGAAGATCAGACATCCCCCTAATGGTGCCTACCATGCACGACCACGCTGAAGTCCTTGCCCTGGTCTCCAGCCTCGTTCGTGGCCACACACCGGAAGCGGCCCGCATCTGATGCTTGGGCCTGGGAGATGACCAGCTTCCTCCCATTGGCCGTGATCCTGATGCCAGGGCCCTGCTTCATGGGTTGGCCATCCCTCAGCCAGCTGGAAGGCAGAGTTCAGAGGGTTTGTATTAGCTGGACACGATGACCCTGTTTAACTGCAAGACCAGCTGGGCCAGTTATCTAATTCCATTCCTCACCTAACATCTGTTATGCTGTTGAGAGAATTTACTATAAGATGTATGTGCCCACAAAACAGACTAACTCCTAGTAGACTACTGGACAATTTTTTTAGGTTTTATAGGGTTGGGAAGGTTGCCAGTTCAAATGCTGCAGTCGGTACACTGATTTTGGTATTCGGCCCATCAACCAAACTGTTACCCCTGGATAAAGAGCAAATTTCCAAAACTCACTCAGTCCATTTTTTGTTGGCTTTGAGATGAGACAGCCAGTGACCTACAGTTAGGTTTTCTCATCTAATGTTACAGTACTGGGGACCAAAACTCACTTAGTCCTCATCTAGCACAATGAAGAACCTTTAGATTTCCAAAACTCACTAAGCCCACAGGAATGTTCTCGAAAATACATCCCGTGAGTTTTGTTCTTCGATCTCACTAGGGCAACCCCTGCTTTCTCACCTTTACATTGCTTTGGATAAAAGCATCAATAATGTGATGCTATGTAAATGTAAAACAGGTGGAAGAGTTTGTTCCTGCGCAGAGGATGACAGAAGAGGGCACTCACGCGATGAGGGGTGCTGGTGTCCCAGTGGCATGACATGACAGCTCCAGAGGATTGTTCACGATGACGGTGATGTCCGAGGTCTGATCCCCACCCTCCACCAAAGGTGCCACTGAACAGAAAAGACAAAAGTTTCCCAACATTCCTTACAACAGAAGTTCAGCTGCTTTTGTCGACCCAGTGGAATCTCAGTTCTGTTGGAAAAATAACCCCCAACCCACGGATCCTGGGCTCCAGACAGTGATATGGATCTATGTTTGTCTTGGTAAAGTGTGCAAAAGTCACTTTCTGCAACTGAATTTACAAACCTTTGGGCTTCGGCCATCGAATGTTGCCCAAGAGGACTGAAGACTAGAATTGCTCCTGCAGTGATGTTCGTATCCAGAAATGTGGATGACATGCAAGTGGACATGTGGAAATGCATTCGGGTGAACAGGCAAGCAGATAGACATTGCTGAGCAGGGCAGCCGTAACACTGATTCAGCTATGTTCACCACATCAGTAGAATGGAAATTCCTCCGTGCGACGACTTTTAACAGTATCCTGCAAAGTACCCAGGAAAATGTCCAGCTGTATTAATATTTAGTAATAGTGAGTAGCTTTGGATAAGTATCAGCTGATAAATGTACAGTAAGTCTGCCACAGAAAAGAGGGTTCTCAAAGTAAAAATAAAGATTTCGGCTGGCTTTTTCAGTTTGATATACTTTTCTAAAGATGAGAAGACAGACTGAGCATATGTGACAACAAAACGTACCATTAAATGTAGCAGCTAAGAACCAAAGAGGCAGTTATTTATTGACTTATACTGTAGATGTTCTGCCGGACCGTCTGCTAACAGACAGTCCCAGTCCGTTAACTGAATGTGTTGCCTCCCACCAGTAATGCATCTGGCACGCCTACTGGGAGCGCGCCCATTCAACAGGGACAGAACCACGCCTGGTGACTTTGATTTATGATTTTCTGAAATAAATGAGGATCGAACTGAATACAGCCAACCTGCGGGACTCTCACTAAGCAAACTAATCTGCACATTAGAGCTCTCTTTGCACTTTATTTAAACTGTCTAAGAAGGCTTCATCAGCACATACAACGAATATGGTGCATTACATTAACAGGGCTTTTGATGGATACAGAATCCCTTTCCAACTGGTTACGTCCCAGGGTGCTATGGCAATACTATTGTCCTACACCTCCTAAATGGGGTCATATGATGCTAATGAGGCGGAGTGTCCCCTGCCTTGTGTCCTGTATCCCAGCATAGGATCCAGGCTCATGACCATCTTATATCGGACAAGCAGTTGCAATACAGATATACGATTAAGTACCTTATTTGATACATTGTTTAAGACATTATGTTTGGCACAAGTCACAGCAACTATAATGATCTGCATCCTTGGAGCAAGGTGGTGAAGCAGTTAGGGTTACCTAGAACATTGACATCGTATTTGATCTCTTCTTCCCCGGCAATGCTGGTCGCCACGCACACGTATCTCCCTGCATCTGACGTGGCAGCGCTGGGGATCTCAATCTTCCTGCCTTGTCGCAGGACCCTGACGCTGTCCCCGCTCTTCAGAGGTATACCGTCCTTCAGCCAGGTCAATGTGGGGGGAGGGTGTCCACCTGCCTCACACTCTAGCACCAGAGTCCTACCTGCTAGCACCTTCCTCTTGGCTGGGGTGTCCAGGACCCCCTCTATAGTTGGAGGGACTGGGAAGAAGGACGACTGAATTAGTTAGGAACAAAACAAGTCACAGATGACACTTCTTTGCTGCCACTAAAGTGTTCTATTTCACTCTCACTTTCACCAACTTTCAAAGGACATTCATACTTTTCATACTGATATTATGAATTTGTATTCTTATTATTGGACAGAAAAAGGGCAAGTTATTTTTACCATAGACCTCGAGCTTGTAGGACTTCTCAGCTGTCCCAACGACACTGGTGGCACGGCAGATGTACCGGCCGGCATCGGCCACTTGAGCCAGGGGGATCTTCAGGAACTGTCCCCGGTCCACGTAGATGGCGTGGCGGCCCGAGAGGAGGGCTCGCCCGTCCTTGTACCAGGTGATGGCAGGTAGGGGTACGCCACGGACCTCGCACTCCAGCGTCACAGGGGTGTTCAGCAGGGTGGTCACCTCTGCTGTGACATTGGCCCCCTTGATGCTGGGGGGGACTATGTTGAAAGCACAGCAATAGGGTCAGTTTCTGACTAGGGCAGGAGCCGAATGATTGGCATCACACCCACAGGGACCAGAGGGACTCACCATACACATTTAACTTGAAGTCCTTGGACTGCTTTCCCGCCACGTTGGTCACGTCACACTGGTAGTGACCTTGCTCACCCAGACGGGGGCTCCTTATCTTTAGCACCTGGCCCCGGTTCAACAGCTCGAAGTTTGGGTCGCCCAGAAACACTGGTCTGGCTCGAATTAACGTAGCTGCCATTAGCAGTAGTTTTGCACAGAAACCTATGCTTTCTCAACATGCTCTATGCAAATCAATCAAGATAGCTTTTCCATTTATTCCTGGTGCACCTCTGAAGAAGCTGCAAACTTGTTTTTCTAACAACTTTATCAATTAGTTTCAATCAAGACAACCATGTCCACCCTCACCAAAAACCGTTAGCATTCAGCAGACATAATATTGGAGTCATTGGGATGATGGAGATACTCACTTGCCGTCCTTGAGCCACTGAATATCAGGGAATGGCTCCCCTTTGACTCTACACTCCAGGCTGACCTCCTGATTGAGGACAGCTGACACGTCCTGCGGGCTGGTGCCGCCGCTTATGCTGGGAGGTACTGAAAAAGACAGTTACAATTAGCGACATGGTTTATCTACATGACTAATGGCATGAACTCACCCTCAGAGGCTCACCCAGAACTTCCAGGTTGAAGTCTTTCTCGGTGCTGCCCGCGACATTGATCGCTCGGCAGCTGTAGCGGCCCGCATCAGAGGTGGCTGCCTGCAGGAGCCTCAGAGTTCTGCCCCCATGCAGGATCTGAACTGAACTGCTGGGGGCTACCTGGAGCCAGAAGCAAGCTTAGGATCTGGAACATACCTCCTGTATTCAGTAGCTTTGCTCATTTCTGTTTTGTTAAAGTGATTTCTATGGGATATTTTCGTGTAATAGCTGCTAAAAATATATGTGAAAAACCTAAGTATAAAAGCATGAAGATACAGCAAAAAAATCTAAAATTACATTGTGCCAGAGTCACATTTGTATTAGAGATATGAAATATTACATACTGGGACGCCATCTTTGTACCAGGTGATAACAGGCGTGGGACTTCCTGTGATCTCACACATCAGGCTGGTGGACTGGCTGAGCACCACTGACACGTTGGCTGGACTCTCGTTATCGCTAACAGCTGGGGGCACTGCAGAGTGGGGGCCAAAATCAGAGGCCTGAGCCAACCACCAACATTAGCCATCTTTAGCCGAAGCCAGAGCCGCAGGGACTCACCATTGACCTTCAGGAGGTACTTCCTTTCAGTGGTGCCTGCGTCATTGACCGCCACGCACACGTACTCTGCACTGTCACGCGGCGACACGGAAGCCAGGGTGAGCAGCGTGCCGTCGCCCAGGATGGACACGCCAGGCTCGCTCCCCGTCAGCTCCTCACCGTTGCGCAGCCACTTGATCACTGGCTTCGGGGTTCCTGCCCCAGGAAGGAGAGATGCTCTCAGGCACGTCCATGAACTGGTTTTACACTGGTTTTACACTGATTTTAACTGATGTACACTGGTTTTTGCTGCTATACTGCTGTTAATATATTTTTATGTATATTCTGTGTTAATTCCACTTTATATTCTATTTTATATTTATTTTCTATTTAGATTTTAGATTTTTAAAGTTTAAGATTTTTAGTATTAATACACTCTGCTGGGCCGATGATGAGTCAATGCAACGTAATTTCATTCTGATGTGCACTAACCGGTGTATGTTCTGAATGCCAATAAAGTAGCTATTCTATTCTATTCTATTCTCAGGCACATCCATAAACACAGAGAAAGTAAAAGACAACAAGGAAACACATGATGAATTTCCAGACAGAACCTTTTGCCAGGCAGGGGAAGGCAATGCGTTGATTGGCCACTCTTTCCTGTAGGGGGCTGTTAAATGGAGGCTCAGACTCCTCGACAGTCGGGGGGACTAGAGAAGCACAGAGGAGACATTCAGCAAAAAATGTTCGTGCTCTTTAAAATCCTCTCGTGGAAAATGGCACCATGCCGGGGGGGGTAGCGAGGACCCACCTTGGACCTGCAGCTGGATGGACGCCTCATCACGTCCCGCCACACTGCTGGCCACGCAGGTGAACATCCCCGAGTCCGACAGCTCCGTTTCTGTGATCGTGAGGGTGCCGTCAGGCAGGCTCACGTACTGTCCTCCGTCCACCAGCAGGGCGGCGCCATCCTTCAGCCAGGTGACCACAGGAGTCGGCACCCCCTTCACCACACAGGGCAGGTCGGCGGGGTGCCCAGCTTGGACCTTCATCACCCTGGGGCCGGCCTGAATCCTCGGGGGAACTGACGGAAGTGAACAGACCAGACTTGGCATCACATTTAATGAGAACAAGCCTTCAACAATCAATAAAAACATTATTATCACAATTGAAATGTCATAATGCATAAAAACCAAATAAAAGGTTCTGCACATGCTATTTACTCCATTTACTGGTGTTTATATTTGCAGTTACAGCAGTATTCCAAAAGTCAGCAAGTGGGACATGTTAGATTTTGTCCTGATGTCCATAATTGTTCCTTAACTACCCTCAGGAATGCACAAAGGCTCCCCACCACTGTGGTGTAATTAAATGCACACCCTGATTACTGTAATTTAACAATCATACAGCGTAATCTTAATTGGAGTCTTCAAACATGTTCGGCTCTCTTAAACATTATAAACAATTCATAAAAACCACACTTGGCACCCAAAATGTCTTTCAAAGCCCATTTTCCTCCCTCTCAAGCACAGGAATTGTATTCCATCAGACTCCTTTCCCAAATGTTTTCAGGCACACTCCGTGTTAATTGTTAGTGTCGGGTATTTCTTTGAAAGCCTGAGGCTGCCCATGGTAATATTGTCACGTGTTCGGAATCTAAGCAACTTAATAAATGACTTTTGTAGGAGACCATGGAAAAGAAAAGGTCCCAACAGAATGTGTACCATAAAATGGCAGAAGTACTATCCGAAGAAAGCTCCTGTTGAACTGTGGGCGATATTTCCATGGAGGGAAAAAACAGATACAGTACTGTGCAAAAGCCTTAGGCCAAAAAATGACGTTTAAAAAATCTTCATGTTGGTCTGAAACTATATTGTCTGTCAAAGTACATTAGCTTAGCTATTTCCAACCCTCTCCTAAAATCACAGGAGTATATGCAGCAACCATCCAGTACACCAGTGCGTTTTTTGATTTGACTACTAGACAATCATGTTTAGCTAATCAATACCTCATCGAGATATTTAGCTAATTAAATCAAACGAATGAAAGTTACCTTGAAACAGCGCTTTTTCAAGACTCTCATAGCACATTACAGAACCAATGGGGAGCCACTTCAACCACCACCATTGCATAGTACCCACCAGGCTGATGAGACAGCAGGCATTTGGCACCAGTACGCTCACCACACAGTAGCTAAGGTTACATATAGGGGATGACTATGAGCTGAAAGGACAGAGGATGGGCTAACCTGATGGCTACAAGAAGACCTCATCCAGCAACACAGCTTTTCTAGCTGGTTTGCCATCCAAGTTCTGTTCAGGCCCAAACTTGCTTAACTTCAAACAGACTGTCTAGTCTGAACTGCAGACGGCGTGACTGCTGATTTCAGCTGGTGGTGAAATTTAACTAGCATGTGGAATTGTTGGGGTGCCCCTTAGAGGAGGTTTGGGAACCGTCCAGCAAGATATCAAGATATCTTTCTGGAGAACAGAGGAAATTCCTGTTTATTTTTTATTGTATTTGCTTTTCTTCTAATGCTATATTGTGGGGTCTTTTTCTGAGCAAATATACACTTACTACCCATATAAATGACCTTAAACATGTTCTTTGCCTGCCTTCAACAGATTTTTCCACAGAACTCTCTCTCTCTCTCATATATGTAAAAATAAAATTTGTACCTGAGCCATTACATCACAGGCATTGAATTTCATTGTTACTTGTTACAATGGCAATAAAGGCATTCTCTTCTCTTCTCTTTTATTACATCACTCTATATAAGTCAGCTCCTGAAAGTTTCATACATGGCATTTCCTTTTAAAACTGCAGGAGAAAAGAATCACGGCATTATGGGAATCACAGCCATGCCTTCGGACCATTACAGGCAGATATTTTTCCATGTCGAGGGAAGTGGGTCAGTTGTGTCCGTCCCTGTTCGACTTCCCTCGGGAACGTAGCTGGAGCCAGATCGACTGAAAAAGACGTTAACAAGGGGACGGCTGCCAGCATACATTTTTTCTTCCTACAGCCCAAGCACTGTGGATCCGCAGAGGTACTATATACTAGATAGTGGTTAATACTAGTGGGCGCTGGTAAGGGTTCGAGGACGAGTCTGGTTAACTGGACGCTGTGAAGTCAAGAAGCTCAGAGGAAAGTGAAGGCGGTTTACAGGTGTGGTAATATGAGGACTTTCCACCCTTACCATGGACATTCAGCACTACTTCCTGAGAGAAGTTTCCAGCGATGTTTGTGGCAACGCACAGGTAGGTGCCGCTGTCCGACACCCGGGTTTCCAGGATCTTCATCGACCCAGAAGGCAGCTGAGTGTGCCTGCAAGCCAGAGGACACTGCTGACCATTTTGCCACAGTTATCTACTACCACCACCTAAAGCCTAGTTGCATATTCAGCCAAAACACAAACTTAAACTATTCTTGGGCCAATTCAGTCCTGGAGACTCTTCACCAATGAGTCATGAGGCCGGGAGCCTCTCTGGACCATGTGGCATTGCAAGAAAAATCACACATGTCACTGATTTTCCGCAGCCTGTGGAACTTAGATTAGCGCAAGTGCTTTGGGACTCCTCAAAGCACCGTCCCTGCTGCAGACGGACACACGGCAGCCCCATTCACGTTCGCAGAAGCGTGCTGGGGCCCCAAAGAAGGCGGCGGGAAACCCGGCTTGGCTTCAGCGTGCCTCTTAAACACATGGACATGATTTGTAGGCCCAGTCAGAACTCCACACTTTGAGAGAAAGGGTTGGGTGAGAAGCCAACAGCAGCAGGAGAACAAATGTCTCCTTTTGTTTGGGGGAGTCTCGCTCCCAGGCACGATGGTGCAAGAGCTGCTCCGCTGAGAGCATGAGCAGCTCCTCATCTGCAGTCTGATGCGGCCCGACGGACAATGGTCTAGCTCTGTGTGTAAAAGCCATGCCAAGAGTAGGAGCAGCAGGAAGTGAGCTTACCTGGGGGAAAAGGGGGAGATGAGCTGCCGCTCCTTGGCCCAGTTGATGATAGGAGGGGGGATGCTTTGGACCTCGCACGGCAAGATGGCGTCCTCGCCTGCAGTCACCGACACCTCCACCGGCCTACCAGAGCCGTCAGGCCCACTGTTTGGGCCAGTGACTCTAGGCCTCACTGAAAAAAGTACAGACAAGTGAATGAACACAGGCATCCCTGTGTGCTTCTAACCCAGTTGTTATGCTGCTTGTTCAATCAGGGGTCCTGACAAGGATAGATAGTCTTGCCTCTTACCATACACAGTCAGCTGGACTTTTCTGGAGCTGTATCCAGCGGGATTGGTGGCAGTGCAGACAAATTCTCCGGACTCATTGCCGGTGGGAGAGGCTATATACAGGGTGCCGTCGTGGCCCAAGGAGAACTGCTCACTACTCAGGTCCAACAGCTCACCTCTCTGCGAGGCACCACAGACAAAAAAGTGAAACAAAGGTCACCGTTTCTTCACTTCCTAAAAAAGACAACTTAAAGAGACCTTTGACTATTAACATCAATAAAGTCAGAAGTCCAAATTCTTTTACGACAGGCAAAGATTTAGAAGCACCAAAATGTGACATCACCAGTGTAAGGACCCTAACATCACAGGGAGGGGACGTCAGTGGGTGCATGGAGGAAAGAATCATAACTAGAGCTGGCGTAGAACTTAACAGAACAGCTTTTCATTGGCCTTCTACGTCCCATTCACTTTAATGGCATATAATTTTACAAGTCACAGAAACAAATGTGCCTACCAAGAAAAGAAAAGAGATACACCCACATTCCTCAAGCACATGTTCACTACATAAAGAGCCTTTCGCTGGTTTTCATCATGTGCCGTTGTCATTGCGGAAACCAGACCATGAAATAAAACAGGGTAAAAATGCATTATGAAAATGCAGGTGTTGAGAAGAAAGAACAGCCATATTCTTGTACCACAGCAAACAGGGGTCCTGCGTCGGAGAAATTTTCTACGTGGAAGATGCATGTTTGGTGTGAGACCGGAATGTTGAGTCCCAGAACCATTTTAACTGCCGATAATAATGTAATCCCAGCTTGTTTATAAAAATTAAAAATATTATAGCCGCTAGATGGCCATATTAAGTGTTGGACACCCAAATCTGAATGTCCAGCCCACTCTGGCCCAGCTGCACGGGACAATGATGAAGTTTGATCAGCTTTGAACACCTTTTTCATGAGGTTAGATGTGACTATGATTTGCCAACTGAAACAGAACCTCAACGCACTGCGAATTTGCACGTAAGCAGTTCCATTGACTAGAAGGTCAAACGTGTTTCTGCATACAGGACACTAAGGGCTTCTTTGGCTGCTTTAGACACATGGCAGGGGCTGAACCACACCGTATATCAGAACTAGAAAACCAATCTTACAGGTTTACATCCCAGAAGGTCTTAAGTTCACAATGTGTGGCAGAAGAAGCTCTTTAGTTAGCTTAGGGATGGGATTGGGTTCCTTACCTTGGACTAGGTAATGTCAGGCTTGGGGGTGGGGTTGGGTTCCTTACCTTGGACCAGGTAATATCAGACTTGGGGGTGGGGTTGGGTTCCATACCTTGGACCAGGTAATGTCAGGCTTGGGGGTGGGGTTGGGTTCCTTACCTTGGACCAGGTAATGTCAGGCTTGGGGGTGCCAGAGGCGCGGCATGGGAGCGAGATGGGCGTCCCCTCGATGGTGCTGAAGACCTGAGGCCCATGCTGGATGCTTGGAGAAACTAAGGAAGACACAGAGTGCGGCTGCTTCAGCGGACAAGAATTCCCAACCTGACGAATTAATCTCTATTAGGCGAAGGCATTTGCATTTATTAGCCTGGGAAGACTAATATTTTTTAGTGGGAAGCAATACTATGACTTCTGATGCTCTGTCATTTTGACTGAGATATTTTCCAAGCACTAATTAAATATGAATGGGCCCCTTGGAGAGGGAGAACAAACAACCCCCACCCCTGGCCCCCACCATGCAATAACAACGGCAGGCCACTGTATGAACAGCACTGAAATTTCAATCTGCCTCATTCATCCTCCTATCTAATCCCCCCCCCAACTCGTCCCCACACTGCTGTGAAATCAGCTACTATTCTCTTTGACCTCAATTTATAAGGAGGCACTAATATATTTACAATAAATAACTTAGCGGACCTACTTGTCTGACTTAAGGCACATATCAGTGATAATCTCATACTGTAGGTGCGAGAGGATAAGATAACGGAGAAGGAAACATCCGGAAAGGCAGACAGGCCTGTGCTTGATTTCACAGCACTATGGTGGCCATGGATGCTCTATCTGGGTGCCAGATGGGAGGCTTGGGGACCTGTAGTGCGCTGACCACTGGAGGGTTCGTCCAGAGTTTGCATGGGAGCCCAGGGGCTAAGGCTGTACTTGGCTGCACACCTCAAGGCGCAACCCCTCCCTACCCACAGGCTCAACGCTCCTCTCCCCATCTCTCCCTGGCTGTTTTATTCATAAAACCCAGAACCATCTGCAGGACCGATTAGCGCTGGAAACTCTGAGCAGGCGTCCGGCCTGGAGATTTAACAATTAGCGACTTGGCCATGGACGTTCCGTGTGATACGCGACTGCAAGTGAAAGTGTGTTAAACGCACTAGCTCCCGACGCCCTTTATTTTCCTCTCCTTTTATTTATTCTTTCTTTGGCTCTCTCTCTCTGTCTGCACATACCCACTGAGTGCTGATATCACACACAGGCCTGCAGATACGGCAGCAACAGCCAATGATGCTCGTTTGTGGACCCGAGCTGGTGCTTGGATGCAAGACTGAATTCAATAAACACAGAATGTTTTACTTTCCCCCACTCAGCCCCATCAGATTAAAAAGCTACTTTCTGCAGCTGTTTTAGGTTTTCTGGATATGTCCAAATATACTTATAAAAAGCACTGGAGGAACCATAAAGGAAAAAAGCTCAAATATACAACCAATGTGTACATTATTATTATTATTATTATTCAAGTTTTCAAGTGTAGTAAATGGTTCCATAGATGCTGCCCATTTGATGCAAGCAGGGCCGCAGCGTATCACGACCACGTACCGTAGACGCCAAGGATGGTGGTGCGGTTGGTGGTGCCGGCCACATTCTGTGCCAGGCAGGTATAATCACCACCATCCTGCAAGCGGACGTGCTCGATGTGCAGACTGCCATCCCGCCGCAGGGTCACGTACGGGCTGGGAAGCACCTGGCCGAGGGACATCAGTGCACTTTCAGGACCTGCTCACATGCATTCTGCATGCATCACACTATGTCATTAACGTGTATGTTTATTTGTGTCACATCCATGCAAACACAGAATAAACACATAGAATATTCCCAAGTTTGTGAGGAAGTCAGGATTATATGGTCATCCAACATGTTTGCTTTTAAAAAACTTGGTCGTGAGCCAGTTCTTTTCCAATACCCCCCCCCATGAGGGTAAGAATGTATAGATTGGTTCATGCTTGAGCATGTGATTCTGTGTGTTCCCTGTGGTTAATTGTTCCATGTCAGCAAGTTGGACATGATTCCCATTCTATGAGTTAATCCCTGCGTCCTTACCAAGCCACCATTGCGGAACCAGCGCCTCTCCGGTAATGGGTTCCCTGCCAGTAGCATGCAGGGCAGAGTCACTTGCTGTTCCTCAATCACATTGATGGTTCCTGGGCTGATGCCAATCACTGGAGACACTGCAACAAAGAAAAAGAGCTTTGCAGATAAATCCTACATGATATGACACGGCAGCCAAGCTATGTTTAATGTCCAAGATGCTATGACATGTCATTTGGCTGCTTTGAACAATAGTTCAAGGGGATCTGATTTATCCATCCCCAGTGACAGCTGTTGGAATATCCATGAGCTTGTTATAGCTGCGGTAACAAGAAGAGAACAGCCGTAGCGACCACATGTTCACAGGAAGACCTCAGTGCGAGTGCAGGTCTCTGGCACTTCTTGAAAGTTCAAACTGAGCCGATGGAAACCTTCCATCCTCACTACGACACCAAGGGAACAATGTGGTCAACACTTTCTGTTTGGAGTCCATTAGCAACACTCCTCTACAGAAGGAGGGTCTCAGAGACCTATCCATCCATCCATCCATCTATCCATTTGTTGTATTCAGGGCACAAAGGTCCGGAGCCCATCCCGGAGGCTATGGGCGCAAGGCAGGGAACATGCCAGGGTGGGGCTCCAACCCATCGCAGGGCACACTCACAGCATTCAGTCACACCCCATCCACTCACACACCATCCACTCACACAGGCATCAAGGACTTGTGTTCAGAATTTATCATTTATGCAATATGTGTAAGTGGAGTCCCTGGAGATCTGGCCCTTGAACTAGCATGCTGTATAAGGGCAATATTCCACTGGTACAAGAATAATTCCCTAAACCCATGCAGACATGCATACATAAATTTTGTAGTCTGCACAATTCCCAGTGGGTTCCAGTACTCCCAACCGACTCTGCCTATGGTTCACGCCTTCTGAGACAGCTCTCCAGCCCTGTGTGTTTTACGACACACTCCCCTCGCTCAGGCCTCCATATGGTTTCCACATCTTCTCACGACGACCAGCCACTGCCTGAGATGCCTGGTTGCTATAAACACTCAGCTGTATTTATATGCTCTCCATGAGCGACATCGCCTCAGTTCACCGAGGGCTCCCAAGACCTGGCCCTCTGTCTCCAGCAGCTGATTGGCCAGACATACGAAACCATGTAGCTACAGACATGCAAAAAAAAACTGTCACCATCTGGTCGTGGTGGGTGATGACGAGGATGACAAGTTTTCAGACAGTGAAACCAGGTTCTCTGTCCATGTAAGCTGCTGCATCCCTTCTATTGCTGAAGAGCATTTGTCATGTGGAGCAAAACATCCACCAAGGGAGAGTGATACATCTGCTGCATGCAAGGATAACAGAAGACCCAACTCCAAATAGATAAGAGCTGGACAGATAAAACTTTTTTTGTTTTTCTTATTTTCATTTCTTGCAATCAAGTACAAGCTTCTCAATAATAAATGATCTTCTCCACTGTGCAGAGCTACCAAGACGAGGCTGACAAGAGTCAGCTTGTCCTAAACTAACCTACCCTAAGACCAAATGGCAAGAATAAACCATCTGACTAGTCTAAACCTCTCATCACATGAACAATATTGACATTTTTTCCATAGCTGAAAATGGCAAACGTATACCTTGGCACGGGAAAGATTCAACTCCATCTTGTGCATATTTTGAGGTTTTATTTTGTTATTTGTTATAAACCAGTTTCAAGTCCGAAGACTCCAACACTATAAACAATCAGGTTAAATAACCCTTGGAGTTGTCATGGGGAATAAAAGATGGAGACCACAAAAAAACTGGCCTGGTTAAAGAAACAAATGAGAGAGGCATCGATTTCTAGCACTGTGCGACCTTTGCTCCATATAACACAGCTTTGCAGTCAATGGGCTTGTTTACAAGTTAATGAGGTTGTGAAATATCCATTGAGTCCTGTGGTACACCAGGGGTTTGCATCTCACTGCACAGACTTTGAAGTGCAGAGACAAAAAATTCTAGGTATGAATTAGCAGTCATATTTTAGGATCCACACCTTTGATCACCTAAAGATATAGGATGGTCTGCATACCTCTGATTCTTTGATTTGGCTGAACGATTCCCAGAAACATGCAAATGAAGAAATGTCGGCCAAATGCATCAAGCACATCTGGCCTGGCAGATAATTCATTTCTTTTTCAGAAGCCGTGAATTTTGGTGCTCTGCATTACTTCTGCCAAACTGACATCTCCAGCCCTTCAAAAGCTGCCAGAAAGTGGCCGTGCATTCATTGCAACATAAAATTTCCCATATTTAAAAAGTGAATTCAAAGCATTTAATACATAATTCAAGAATAACGACCCTACTACATCATCCCTTGACTGGCAGACCATGTGAATAGTTTGGTTTATTTGAAATTGAATATTTGAAGTCTGCTTTCTGTCCACAGAAATACTTTTCTCCTAGAATCCAGCCTTATTACCTTTAAAATAAATAAAACATATTGAAATAATAAAAACCACTGATAAGAGGAAAAATGAAGAATGTGAATTATCTTGAAAACATCATTGCGACTCAGCACTCATCCACATGTAAACATTTAAAAGTGAAAGTGGACCGTGTTATACAATGAAACACGACTGATTCAATCACTTACCAAGTCCAGTAACAGTAAGAGAGGCTTTTGCTTGGATTTTCCCAAACTGGTTGTAAGCCTCACAGATGTATTTTGTCTCATCTTCCACCCAAATATCTGAGAAGTCCAGAAAACTCAAGTTTCATAAGTTTCATAAGCATTGACACCAGAGACTAATTCGTAACTTCGTAACTAATATACGCCTTTAATGCAATGTCTTCGGGTATTAGACTAGAAACTGAAATATTGCTGGTTTATCATGGGAAGAGGACTGGCTCAGCCTTTAATCTGAAAGCCTCCACAAACATCTTCCAGTATATCTTTGCATAGAAGCCAACCTGAAAACTATGTAATTAGCATTCAACCATGGTATCTGTTAAGCAAAATGTCATTAGCCAGAACACACTGAATTTGACCAATTTCTTCCCAACTGGTTATGACTCTGAGGACACGGAGACCAATGATCACATCTGTACAGCGGGCTTCGGGGGGGCCTTGTGCTGCGGTGAACACAACAGTCTGCCCAAGCTGAGAACTCGCTACGTACTGCTGATGAGTAGGTCCCCATTTCTCTTCTGCGTGACGGAACTGTGCGTATGGTGCCGGGAGAAGAGGGCACCGTTGTCCTCTCTCCGCCAACTGATCTGAGGTTCAGGGTAGCCCTGGGCTCGACACTGTAAGGTGGCGTTTGAGCCGATGTCTGCTGAGATGTCCGTGGGCTCGTGTGTGAACTCCGGAGAGGCTGGGGAAAAGACGAACAATGAGCAGATTCAGTCTTGAGTCTGTCAGTTAAGCACTGTGACTCATCTGCAGCATAATGTACACTTACAGCCCACATCAAGGGTGACTTTGGCCACAGCTGTTCCTGCTTCGTTTGTGGCAACACAAGTATAGTCGCCAGCATCCGTATCCCGGGTTTCCTCGATCTCCAAAATGCCTCGGCGAGGCTCTATTCTTACAAATGGGGTTGATCGCAGCTGAAGGTCACCTGACCAACAAAGAAGCATCCAGATTTCAATTAATTTTGACTTTGGGATCTCTAGGTACAGTAGGAGACTAGGAGTGAGGTTTTCCAGAAGAGAGCCTCACCTCTGTACCACCTGATCTCTGGATGTGGAATCCCAACAGCGATACATTCCATTACCGTGGTTTCCCCCAAACCAGTTAGAGTCTCACTCTGTACCACTCTGACTTGAGGAGACTCTGTAAGCAGAAAAGCATCATATGGATGTAAATGAATGAATGAATGAATATTACATTTATATAGCACTTTTTTTTGGTTTTACAGAACCAATAAGGAGCCATTTCGACCCCAGCACCACCTGGATATATACATGCTCTTTTCTTGAAAAGAATTTGAATAGTTTGCTGTAAAGGATGAATATATGATGTTTCTTCACATATCAGGCTAAATTATACAGCAAATAAACTTAGTACTCACCAATATATGTCAGAATGGATGTCTGTGTGTCTGTCCCAGCAACGTTGCTGGCCAGACAGCCATAAGATCCAGCATCCTTCTGAACTGTGCTTTTGATAATCAAGGTCCCATCTGGAGTCATGCGGTGCCTTGAAAATAAAACCAATGGAATGAATCGCAGGTACAATCACAAGACAGCAGCGCCACCAACTGGGGAGAGGAAGAAGAAGTGCTTACCTGCTAGAGCTCGTGATGAAAATGTCATTGTGGGTCCACACTATGCGGGGGGCTGGGTAGCCTTTAGCAGAGCACCGGACACGGACCTCTCTCCCTGTCAGGAACGTCTGATTGCGGGGTTCCACTCTCACTTGCGGAGGATCTATCGGGAGTTCAAAGGTGTCTCTGATATGTTAGATGTCTTCTTCTCCTTTCCAACATAACATTTTGCCTATGAATTACAATTGATCTATAAATGCATAGAAGTCCAGCCATGACTAGGCTAAGAATTCTGTCAATTTTTTATACAGCCATGCTGGTTTAGACTTGCTGGACTTTTTGCCCAATATTTAGAAATCATGGCTAAGAAACAGCACCCAATTTTACAAGCCTTATTAAATCACAGGCAAAATGTTTTTCAGTTCTATATTTTTCATTCAAATATGATAGTTAAAGGACATGAATGCCCAAAATATACCTGTCCATTTACACCTGATAGGTAAGGAAAAATGTTATTTTACTGTTACATTAAAACAAGTATATTTCATTGCAAATCATTTATCTTCCTGCTTTCATAGTGTTTTATTAGATAAAAAGAAGGAATATCAGTTCAAAATACAGTTTGGGGAATCAGCAAGGGCCAAATGATTCATTATGCGTTCCATGTCCTGAGAGGTCATGCGATACTGCCCAGCTCCACCTCTGTGGTGATCATGATCACAGGGAGACAGGATGAAGTTCTCAGGTTCTCCGGGAGAGTGATTCAGGATCTCATAACCCACCATCCCCAGCAAGCCTCAGCTTCTCCAAAAACACACGGTATACAAAGCCGAGTACGGCTGCCTTAAATGCGCACTGACACTGGTTTTCGTCCATAGTTGGGCCACTCCACTGAGTGCCATAAACGTTTGTGCTCTGTGACAATCTTTGGTATGACACACCTTGGCCAACCAGGAAGCTTTTAGCTCCGCTTAGGTGCAAGAATCCATCGGGAAGGACATCACAACAAACGAGATCATTCTGTCGTTTGAATACTGTTATAAATGCAGCTAACGAGGGTCCAATAGAGGAATGCTTTGAATGACACATAAATTATTTGAGGCAGTAATTACAAAAACATTTAATAACAGTCAACACCCTTTGTAGCTTAAGAACAATTAGCAGTCATACTCGCTGTTCAGTGCTCACTGACATATTTGGCAAAATTCAAAAATATCCATTTACTGCAGCTACTGGATTAATAACGGATGTACAGTCCCACATATGGCTCTTGAAAGTTCTCCAGAAATGCTGAAATAGAAATGACAGATATCACAAAAGTACCAGGGGTGTAAGCTAATACTGGGGGTTGTTACATTCAGCTTAAAGGATTAGATGAGGACTTAAACCAACATGCTGACAGACTGCACACAGCTCTCCAAACCCGATGACAAATGAGGTGCTTAGTATTGCATGGCTTAACCTTTTCTGTGGCATTAAGGGGCTTTCATGTGCCAAGCCGGACTTGTCTTTAGACCCTGATAATGAACCGTGAAAATGTCCTGTTCTGTCATACGCAGTCCTTCCTGTCGTCAGCGGTCGCACTTCAAAGTCGGCTTAATGACTGGGATTGGCTTTTCTTCAGGTGCTAATTAAAAAGCTGGCGGCCGTATTGTAACAGCTGTTTGTGAGGGGAGGGGCCACTTTAGCCACAGCACTCAAAGGTGTTTGTGTGTTAAGGTCAGCCATCGATCCCTGCTGAGTAACAAAGACCCCTCCCAAAAAAGAAAGAGATGACTTTGTTACTAAATAAACACACAGGAACTATTCTTGTCATGTCCTGTGAAATGCCGACAACCTACAAACTCTATTTTAGGTCACATTGAAAAGTTATTTTTCACACTCGTGGTACAAATGGATTTCAACATCTAAATACTTATCACATTGATGTTTTCACGCCTTTATTCAAGGTTTCCAGAAAAACTAATACCAGCAAATGTGTTTTAAACAGCAGATATTGACCTGTTGTCGCGCAGTCACATGTTCATAGGGCCCAATCAGTGGGTCAATATGACACAAAGATTTTGCTCCATATGCGATGTCTCTGGTGCTAAACTCTGAAGATAATCCTGACCTATTTGTGAAGGTCAGCTTTTCATATACTCTAAAAAATCCATACATAAATCACCTTCACACACCCAACAAGCTATAAAATGAAATACTGCGCTGTGCCATCGCTGTAGACTCCTGATGTGATTTCCTGTGAGATGTAAAGATGCACGCTGGTCAGCTAAGCTCTCATCACTACTCAAATCGGGCAAGAGACGAGCTTTTGGATTCCCCAGCAGCTTCCTGACAAGGTCTCGTGGTGCACTGTTCAGCGTTCATACCCCTAATGCAGAAGTCCCACAGCAACCTCACTGGAAGCCACATGGAAATAGAGCGGATTTCATGAAGGAAAGTTCCAATAACGTTTTGCCATCCTCAACACGGCTGTCAAATCACTCATATTAACAAACAGTTGTTATGGAAACCACTCAACGGCGTTCCATAGAGGTACAGACTAAAGAGATTTCCGGTGTTCAACAGTTGAAGGGAGTGACCTCAGAGTCATAGTCCATAAAGGCACAGATAGCAACTTGCCATTAAGCCTTGGGGTTGAGGCCCCAGGTCCCAGTGACCTGGACATGCTCTCACCTTGTACGGCGAGGTAGACGGAGGAGGAAGACGCCCCACCCTCATTCGCAGCAATGCAGCGATACCAGCCGATATCGTCAATCGTCACCCTGTAGATCTCCAGGGAAAGGTTGCTCATGGTGCGTACTCGCGGCTCCAGGTGGGCATCCAGGCCGCCGCGCTGCCAGGTGAGGTTGAACCGGACTGTGCTGGTCACCAGGCAGGTGAGGACGGCCCGGGAGCCCGGGGATACTGTCACGTTGCCGGGGACAGTGATCGTGGGAGGTGGTTCTGCAATATAACGATATGGCGTGTTATGGTCATTGGAGGCTGCTACAAAGGAACTGGAACGTAATGATAATAATACTTAATTTGCCGTTTGTATGAATAAAAGTATGCAGGGATTTTAGTTTTCACATATCACATCTTGCTCTCCTATGAAACGCACATATGAGACACAAGGTGAGAGCAAAGCTTGGGGTGAAAGTGCATTTTTCTGGTTGAGGGTCTTGCTCAAGGGGCCAACAGTGATATGATTGCTCTTCCAGCCAGAGACATCAAACAAGTAATCCTTCTTTCACAGGCACGACGTCACACACAGTCTGGACATGGCGGTTCAGCTAAATCAGATCATTTGCTGGAGAATGAATGGAGGTCATCTTGTTGAATTATTGCAACAACATTAGTGGGGGTTTTTTGCACCTTTAGTTGAAATCTAACATTTCTTCTTGCGTCGCAAGTCACATTGCCAATGCAAGTTGAAAATAGAAAAGGTGCGAGTTCTGAGTTCTGAGTTCTGAGT